CTTGGCAATGCTTGGGCCGACAGGTTCGCTAAATGGGGCGCATGTTGTCATGACCCGTCTGAGACCCTGGAGATGTCGTTGGAATCGAATATATGTGATGCTAAACTGCAGGCCAGGATGTTGTCATGGGTGGTGTGCAAGATGGCGTATCGTGACTCATTGACTGAGCGGCCCAGTAGGTTAGCCAGACCCCCTGCCCCAGTCAGGCCCGTTAGACTCACGGCCCACGAGATGGCCGTTCTCTCGCCAGGAGTCTTCCAGTGTAGGTCTTGTCTTGGGCTTGCTAGGACCCAGGCGAGCCTCAGCAGGTTTCTAGGGACCCAGTGTGAGCCCACGGCCCAACAGAGGCTCAGAGCCAGTATGCTAACTGAGCTACAGAGCGCGCCTCCGATGCAGGCGGAGGCTGTGCGGGTGGCCCTAGAATTTTCTGACTCCCTCGAGGGCGTTTCCGCGAATGCGAATCCGACTGAGCCGCCTCCCGAGGAGGTGGTGGAGCTCAACGGGCACCAGGTGCTCGTTACCCCCAAGTGCATGGTCTGCACTTCTTGTGGCTCCTATCAGGTGTCTTCTGGCAAGGTGAATAACTGTAAGCTTGGATCTGCGGCCTGTAATGGCGCGTCCCAGCACGGGCCTACCCGATCTAGGCAGAAATACATCATCTCAGCCTGTAGGGCTGGGAAGGACCCTAAGACGGGCAAGATGTTAACCTAATTTTGTATGGGTATGGCCCGTGCTCCTGTCCTTCAGTTGCACGACTGGTCGGCCGTGTCTCTCCTCTCGCCTCCTCCGTCTCCTCTCGCATCGCCTCGTTTCCTCTCTTCACCCGGTTCTCCTCTGCGCTCGGGCTGGTTGCATCACGATCCGCACTGGATGTAGCCATCCTAACCCCCAGGGGACTGCCTCTGGGGGGTGGTAGTCAAATTCATCTTCCCCAGACAGTGCTTACACTTAGGGATTCTCTTATTTTCTTTCTAAGGAAATGGGCCTGTGCGTAGGTCTGGCGGCTATGTTGTCGCCGTCGCAGCCCCGTCGCCGCCCCGTCGCCGCCTCGTCGCTGGCCATCCTCTGCGCCTGTGCGTCGGTCTGGCGGCTGTGTTTTCGCCGTCGCCGCCCCGTCCCCGCCCCGTCGTCGCCCATCGTCTGGGCATGTGCGTCGGTCTGGCGGCTATGTTGTCGCCATCGCCGCCCCGTCGCCGCCGTCGCCGCTCGTCGCCGCTGTCAGATTGCACTACATAGATTGGTTCGCATTGTTTTGTATTGCGTTGCTTCGCCTCGCATTGCTGAACATTGATGTGCATTGGTTTGGCGTATTGTGTCTTGCTTGGCGTTGATTGACATTTTTTTCGTTGCATTAATATGCATTGCGATGATTTACCTTGCGTTGCGTTGTGTTCCATTGCGTTGTGCTGTCTTGTGGTGTATTGTTTGGCGCTACTTTGCATGACATGCGACGGCAGCGACAAGTGTTGCAGCGAAGCGCAAGGCTGGAGCGGTTGCTGGCCGCGGTCGCCGTTGCGGGCCTCTCCCCGCTGGCCCACAAGGCTTCCAAAAGAAAAAGGTATTCTGCTCCACCAAGGGAACCCAGAGCCCGCCGAGGCGAGCTGAGAGCGCCAAAGGGCGGGACGAAAAGCTGTTTCGGGGATGCCCACCAGCGGCGAAGGGGGGGGGGTCAGACCTTCCCGCGGCAGCGGGCTGCGGTAGTCACTCCCCGCACCCTTCCCCCCAAAGTCGGTAGCGCGCAGTGGCAGAAACGGACGTGAGAGCGGGCGAGCAGAGTACGGTAGAAGAAGCGGCTGACGTCCGCCGACCCCGCTTGCTGGTGGCGAGAAGGCGTGTGAGATGATTGGCTGTCCCCTCCACTTGTTCCCCCTTCACTAAAGCCGAAAATGGCGTCAGAGGAGGGGGGGGGCCTGGGGAGGGCCCTGGGGGGGAAAGTCGGGGGGCCGGGGGGGGGGGGCACGACCTCGCCGACGCACCCCGGGGGCTCTCGGAGCCTCCAAAAAACGTCCCAATAAGCGCCAAGACAAGCCGAAAGAGCGTCGAGACGACCCAGGGTACCCTGCGACAACCGAAGATGGCCTCAAGACGGTCAACGAGGTCCCCCACATGGCCGAAGAGTGTTCCCAGAGGGCCGCCGAGGAGGGTCCCAAAAGGCTAAATCGCTCGTTCGTTCGATTGTTCGTTTGTAGGTAAACGCGTTCGTTCGACATGCACACCTTTTTCGTCTTCACAGCGCCCCCTACGGCCCAAGGAGCCAACAATATCGTCCCAAGACGACCCATGAAACCCCCAAGAGGGCCACAAGACGGCCCAATAGAGCCCCACAAGGGCCCGAGGGAGTAGGAAGGAGGACGAGGGAGGAAGGAGGTGGGAGCAAAGCTTTGTGCTCCTCCGTGGGTCGCCGACACAGCCAGCTGCGGACTCACGCCCACTGCCCACTCCCGTGAGTGAGGAAGCACAGCTCCTTCCACTCTGTCCGCGGATGAAGGCCACGCTCGAAAAGGCTCCGCCGTTCCTTGCCTATCTTGTCCAAGACAAAACAGCAGGGCACTGGGTTGGGCTGCACCGGAGCCAATTGTGCACACCGCACGCAGCACAGCATGAAATCGCCTTGTTCGGGTCCGGCCTCTTTGGTTCAAATCACCGCTTGCCGCAGGACGTAGCGTCAGCAAACTCGCGCAGCCCGCAACAGCCTTCGGGCGCCTTGCGCCCGCACTCCGAAGCCATCCCAGCTTGCCAAATTGTAAGATCGTGGAGACACTGAACGCACTGCCATCGCCCATCCGTCACGGCGCGCAAGTCGCGCCGCAGGAAGCACGGGCGCGTCGCATTCACCTGGCTCGAGCACGGGGGCAGGCGGGCCCGCTCAGCTTCTGGGGCAGGCCCCACGCGCCAACACCCGCCTCAGACTAATCAACCCACGCCGCGCTTCGGCGCAGGCGTCCACAAAGATCGTTTCATCCCGTGCCCTTCGCGGCCACCAGGCGCTCGCCTCCTCGGCGGCCTCGTCTGCCCCCGATTTGAAAACGACCCGCCAACAGCCCTTGCCCTGCGCGTCGGCTGGGAGACCCTGGTGGACATGCACCCTGACCCGCGCCCCGAAGGCGAGATCACCGCGCCGCGATCAACGCCAGCATCCAGCATCAGCCCGCGAAGGGCCAGAGGCGCACGCGCGGCCTCGCGCACGAGCGGCCAACGCCGCCGCATTGTACGCACCCCCCCCCCCTCGGAGCTCCTCAAGAGGCCCGATGGAGGCCGAGCTGCCCCCAGCCAGCGGCTGGGCGGGCACGCGCGCGAAGCGCCGTGGATAAGTCTCTTCGCCCCCAACGAACACTCGCGCGATCATGCTCGCAGGCGCCACGAGGGGGGGGGACACCCGGGCCCTGGCGGACAGGCGCGGAACCCGCGGGCGAAAGGAGCCGATGTCATTTTCGTTCTCCCGCTGACGCTCGAGAACCTTCGGAGGGGGCGCCGCTATTTCACGGCCGGCCACGAATGCTGGGCAGCGGCCAAGTCGGCGCGGGAGATCGCCAGGGCCCACTGGACTGCCAGCAGACGCCCGCACTCGGGTCGTAGCCCCAGCCCACCATCGTCTCGCCCGCGAGACACGGCTCGCCCACCGCCGCCGAGATGGCCAACATCTCTCAGAGGGCCAAGCGATTGCATCTCACTGCGTTGGCGACCAACCATCACCAGATCTTTGGCAGCTCTTCATCACTGGGCCCACCACGCCGTCGAATGCAGTCGGCGGCTTTCGTTCGCCACGTCCTTTTCGCACAAATATTCCATGCGCGCGGGGCCGTGCTCGACGCGGGGACCCGTCGAGGCGTCGGGGGTCGAGAAGATGGCGTTGGCCGACGCAGCCCCCCTCCCGATGCCGCCCACGCGCGCCGGGAGGCCAACCTCGGGGAACGCGGCGGCCTGGGCGCGGAACTCGCAGCGTGCACGTTGCTGAGAAGCGCCACGACGCCGCTCTCTGGGCCAAGGGCATCTCCCGCAATCCCGAGGAGCACGCGGGCGCGCGACCAGCGGAAGCCCCCCATGGCGATCCCGAGGACGTGAAAAGGGGACCGCCCGCAGCACCCAAGCCGGCCCAGGACGGCGCGCAAGACCATCTCGAACGCCTTGGTCAGGTCCAGCAGGAGCACGAGGAAAGCCCACTCCAAGCCCGCGGTGTCTCCTGCACGCACTGCTGCCCACCAGACACTCGGTGATCTCTCCTGGAGGTGCCCGCGTTGAAGGCGCCGCGCCCGCCGAGGCCCTGCCACTGCTGCACGTCTGCTTGTGGCTCCGCCCCCCACGAGCAGCACCGCGCGTTGAACTGCCCGATCGGTCCACGGCCTCCTGTTGGCTTGAGGCACTGCGATGTCCGGATCTCCTGCTCTCGTGTCGGGAAGGCGCCTGCCGCGGTGATGATGCTCATCAAGATGGCGGTCGGCTCGACGTCGCAGAGCTACCCAAAATGCACGGGTTGGACCCTTCAGGCTTGCAGGTCTTGGCCTTGAAGGACCTGCTGACCTTGCGCACCTGCTCCACGTCCAGTATGTGGCTCCGATGCTGGTAGCCGTTGGATTCGAAGGCTGCCATGAGGGCGGCGTGCACACGTGGGAAGACTTCGTCTAGCTGCTGGGGGTCGCACGTGCCAGTTGCTCGCCCACTCGCCCTCGCACTTCTTCAGAAGGGCGACGGGGCATGCTGAACGATCCTGGACTCTCTCGATGGGGCCGTCGACCACTTCGGCTGCCCACTCGTGCATCATCGGTGCCCCTCGAAGTTGCTCCTCCGTGAGCCTTCGGCCTTCCTGCCGTGGGCCAGCACTCTGGGCGTGGTGTTGCCAATGTGTTCAGCCCTCTTGGCCACCAGCTCGATCTCCCCGACAGCGGTGGTGATTGTGAGCGGGCCTATTTCGCTTCGTGTCTGCCAATGCTGGTGCTTTCAATGATCCTGACCCTTGCGCAGCTCCTGACACAGATATAGGCGAGGACAGCGGTCCCGACGGCGATTTGTCCTGCATTGGCGACAATGTTGGCACGGTGTCCGCAGTGTCGTCGTGCTCCACCTCCAGGTCGCCCATGAGGTCCACAAGGGGGTTGCCCATGCTGGTCATGTATCGCTCCGTCCCGTAGTATCGCTGGCCCTCGCTGACTGTAGCGGCGCGATCTCCTCTCCCTGAGGCCTCAGGGCCAAAGTAGGGGAGGCCCACCATGGTCGCCATCAAGTACGGGGTGGGTGCAGGCGATGTGGTGCGTGTCGGCGTGTGTCTCGCCACACGACTTCGCATTGCTGCCTCCAGGTCGGGAAGTCTCGCCAGACTTTGGGGCTCGGTCCACCCGGACGTGTGCGGCCCGAAAGTGAGGCTGGCTGGGGTTGGCGATTCCGGAGCCCCTGGAAAGGCGCCAAGGCCCCAGACGAGCGCCACGGTGACTTGGCGCCCGCACAGGCGCCCAGGGGGCATCGGCCACCCGCACGTCTGCGGCCCCACCCTCCCGTCCGCTACGCTCTCCCTCTTAGGGTCTGCCCCATGGGTTCCCCACAGGAGCCGTTGCGCCCCGAGTGCAGCTCGTCATCCTACCATGACCTGCTGCCTACTGGAGGGGAGGCGTCGTTCAGTCCAGGGGCATCGGCGGGAGGGAGGGAGGGAGGGTGGGAGGGAGGTGAGAGGGAGGGTGGAAGGGAGGGAGGGTGGAAGGACGGAGAGAGGAAGGCAGGGAGGGAGGGAGCAGCAGAACGACGACGGGGACGCCGGGCCGAGGTCCTGGCACGTGGGCGTCTGCCTGTTCGCGCAGCACCACTCCTACGCGCGAGAGCGCGCGGCCGCCGCCACCGACGCCGACGACAATGAATCGGCTGTACGCAGGCAAAGGCCGCCCGAATGAGGTCGGCCGCCCGAATCGGAGATGCTTGGCGGCGTCGGAAGAAAGAAAATCGGACAGCGGGTCGCGCAGTCATGCACCGTATCATTCATGGGTCGAGGATCGACGACGCCTCGGGAGACGACAACACAGCACGGTGCCTACAAGTCGCGTCGCCTGCGGACGAAGGGCCACTCTCGTCGGCGGCGAAGGCGGCCCGCGACGGCGACGAAGACCAGGGGGTGGTTGCGCTTCGGCCGGCGCCGCCGCGAGAAGGCGTGGTGGGAGATAGGGACGATGGGTGAGGGGGGGAGGGGGAGGAGGGGGAGAGGCAGGGGAGGAGGACCGAGGTGCCAGGCTTTTCAGCTTCTCTTCGCGTCCTGGCGCGTCCTCGTCGCCGCAGATGGGCCCGCCTCGGGATTCTGGTCAGAATGCGCCCCTGGACAGGCCGAGGGGCAGACTTGCGAGGAGGGGGGCGAAGAGGTGGCGAGGAGGGCGAGAGAGGCAAAGCAAGCTAGGCGCGCTCGCGCCACATCTGGTCTCCTCCCCCTCCCGCCCGTCCCTTCCAATTGCGTTGAATATGTTCCTATCCGTCGACCTGGGTGTCCCAAAAGACATTGATCCCCAACCAGCCGGCGAGGCTGTGAACATTGGAGTAAGAGGAGAGGAACTGGCGGCTTGGCGAGACAGGAAGAGGAGGAGGACAAGGCAGGAGCATGAGAAGCAGGACCAGGGGAAGCCGCAGGAGGGGAAAGGAGGGGGACGGCAAAGACGAAGAAGGGATCGGATCCAGACAAGTGGCCCGCACTCGGGCGAGAGCGGGACAGGAGCAAAGCAGCGATCCTGAAACGTGGCTAACGCTGCAATGGGAGTACTGTGAGTGACGGACCACAAACCTTCCGATCACGAGAAGATCCACTGGAAAACCTGCGCGAGAGAGGGGGGACCACCATTACACGTTGAGAGTTATACTCAGATTGGGCAAGTGGAACCAGGAGGGGTCCTCTACCTCCGAGAGAGGGCGTTTCACGGGCGCTTGCAGTGGGAACGTTCGGCGGCGCATATCGAACAGGGGGGTGGGCCCCACCCCCCAACACTCGGCGCCGTCGATCAGAACCAGGGGGACCCCCCTCCCCCTAACCCCCCCCTCCAGACCCCCCCCCCCCCTCCCAAAGGGGGGGGCCAAAACCCCCCCCCACCCCCCTGGTGGCCGCCGTAGCGCCAACGCAGCGACGATGACCAGAGAGAGCCCAGGAAGGGGGGGTTCAAACCCCCCCCGCACCGGCGCCGGCGCCGGCGCCGACGCTGGCGGCGGCCAGCAGCGCCGACGGCGGGGACGCAGCGACGATGACCAGAAAGCAAATCGCCATATCGAGCCCTCGCATGCTCCTCAGACGCCCCCGAGACCCTTCTGACGAGACCTCACGAGGCATCCGCTAGAACTCTGACCCTTTGCCAAAACACATTGACGGGAAGAGCCGAAGGTCACGCCACCACCACCACCACAACCACCGCCACCACAGATCACCATACCACCACCACCACCACCACCGCCACCACCACAACCACCACCACAACCACCACAACCCACCATCGCCACAACCACCACCATCACCACAAACCACATCACCACCACCACCACCACCAAAAACGCCACCACCACCAGCCCCACCACAACCCACCACAAGCCACCACAACCACCACCACCACCACAGACCACCACACCATTACCACCACCATCAACACCACCGCCACAACCACCACCATCACCACAACCCACAACCAACACCACCACCACAAATCACCACACCACCACCACAACAACCACCACTACCGCCACCACCCACCACCCACCACCCACACCAGCACCACTACCAGCAGCACCACCACAAACACAAACACCACAGCCCACCACCACCACCACCACCACAAACCACCACGCCACCACCACCACCACCGCCACCACCACGACCACCACCATCACCACCTCAACCCACCACAACCACCACCAAACCACCACACAACCACCACCACCACCACACAACCACCACCACCACAACAGCTCACCACCACCACCACCAATACAACAACCCACCATCACTACCACCACCATCACCAAAAAGTACCACACCACCACCACCACCACCACCACCGCCACAACCACCACCACTACTACCAGCAGCACAACCCATCGCCACCACAACCACCACAAACCACCTCACCACCACCACCACCACCGCCATTAACACCACCACCACCACCACTCCCGCCGCCGCCGCCAGCCGTCGCCAACGCCGGCCCGAGGAGAGGGAGAGAGGAGAAGTAGGGGAAGCGGGGGGGGGTCGAACCCCCCCCCTCTCCGTCACGGGAGGGGGGGGGGTGGTCGAACCCCCCCCACCCATCCAGGGAGGGGGGGGTCCGGTTCCACCCCCCCCTCCAAGCGACCACAGAACGCACTCTTTCCTACCTCCTCATCTTCATTACCCTCCACTCCTCGTTCCTCTTCCCCCTCCTCCTGCATGTTTGTCCATCTCATCGTCCTTTTCCGTTGTCCCTCCTCTGCTGATCATTATCCTCTTCCTCCACTTCCTCCTCCCGCGTCTCTTCAGTGTGATCATTCTGCTCGACCTCCCTAGCTCTAGAGCGGTTCGTGCGCTACCCCATTTGCACTGGCGTCGGGCAGCAGCCCAAAAAAAAGCGGCCGCACGGCCCGTCCGGGCCCGTCGTGGAGCAGCTCCTCGGGGGCCAACGCACGGGTTCTTGGTCCGCTCGCGGGCCAGGCATCCGAGGGCCCTCTCCCGCTCCGCCGTGACCCCGAGAGGGTCAAGCCCATCGGAAGGTCGATACCAGGGGCCTGACGTTCGACTGGACAGGCCAACCTCCCGAGCCCTCACTCCCATCACCATTCCCCGCGGCCTCCAGGAAGGGCCTCCAGACATCCCTGGCGATAGAACTGAGCCCGCCAGCACCTCGAACAGTTGCTGGCGCGATCGGGTATGGGTGCTAACAAGTCCCACCAGCCCTTTGGGCGTGAGTGGTTTAGAGAGCTCTCTCTGTCCTCAACCCCCCCAACCCCCTTCTTCCCGTTCGGGGAGGGGTTTACCCCTCCCCCTACCCCCTCCCCCTGGGTCTGGAGAGGGCGTCCCGATGGTCGTTGGAGGGGTCTTTTCCGACTCCTGGGAGGGCCAAAAAACGACTACCCTCACGAGGATTCTGGCCCCGTCGGGGGGACCCAGAAAAAATGCTCTCCTCTTCTCTGAAGCCAAAATCCTTGATTTT